CATGCAGGAGTCTAGAGATGTGTTTCCTTCAATATCTGCTCGCTCCCTCTCCCCCTCACTCCCCCTCCCACCCCCTCAGCATTCACTTCAAAATTTCCCGGGCATCGCCGGCTCCCTTTTCTGAAACGAGAGAGACAGGCCATCCTTTTGCCTTCCACTGGGAGGCTGGGATCACTAGTCCCTCAAATGCTGGCCCGCTCTGGCAGTGTGATAAAGTTGAACTACCAGAGGATTTTTTTTTTTTTTTAATTTTACAACTGCGGAAATGAAAAAGTAAACAAGACTGGGACTGCATCGGTATTTAGGCTCCAGCTTTTTGTTGTTGTTTTTGTCTTTTTCTGTTTTAAGCAAGGGGCCTGAAGGAACCATATAATATGAAAAACCCTGAGAGGTTTTATTAGCCAATAAAAAAACAAAAACAAAAAAACCTCACTTCCTATTAACCACTTAACTCCTCACTAGAGCTTCACACTTGCTTCCTTCTCGCCTCCTTCACTTCCTCCCATGCCCACAACGAATGAAGTTGGTCCACCAGCCTTTCCCTACACGACCTGAGCTCACAGTGTGTGTCCCGGAAGTTGTGGTCGAGAATCACAGTCAATAATGCTCTCTGCATTTCTCATCTCTGCATTATTGACTATGGTTGAGAATCACAGTCAATAATGCTCTCTGCATTTCTCATCACAATAAGGAGTCTGATTTTTTTATGTCCCCAAATCCACGCAAAAAGCTCGCGCTCTCTCTCTCTCTCTCTCTCTCTCTCTCTCTCTGAAATCCTCTCCCCACCCCCGCCATTGATTTTAGAGAGAAGGGGAGACACCAGAGAAAGAGAAACATCCAATATGATGTCAATTGGTTGCCTCCCACATTGGCCCCAACCCAGGTATGTGTCCTTGACTAGAATCGAACCTGGGATCCTTCAATCCAAAGGCCAACACTCTATCCACTGATCACTGATCCACTGAGCCAACTGGCCAGGGCCAAGGAGACTTTTTAAACACACTGCCTACAACGAGGAAGGGCACTGTGGCTTTCAAGATTGAAATATAAAGTGGCTGTTAGAGAAGACAGAATCAGGTCTAGGCATCGCTGGGATACGTAAAGATGGCTCCTCTCATCTGGGGGCAGAAGAATCCAGAGAAACTCAAAAAGAAACTGAAAGTGAAACCAGTCCTATTGGTTGAACCGTCTGAGATGGTGGAATTATGAAAAAATAAATTACCTAATTTAAAAAGGAAAGGATGTCAAAGGAGCTTTAGATCGTTGTTATTCGTTCCCACACCATTATGCATGTCACATGATTATATTGTTTGCTCTTTGCTGTTTTTAAATAATAAATTTGCAAAGAGATATCAACCCATCGTCCCATTGTGTTTTAGGAGTTGCTGGTACCTTCCTCTCTCAAACACTCTCTAGCGCTCTGCCACCATCTCCTGTGTCTCCCACTTCTGCTCTCCACCCCCTCATCCATCACTGCAGACTCCCAGGAGAAATGTCCTGAGGCCTGAAATGCACAGGTCACATGAGGCCAGGCTGCAAAGCTGTGTCCTGTCTCTTGGTATGGCGACAAGACTACTTCTTGAGGGGCTTTTGGGGAAGAATTTTAGCATTTTGCTATATGGTCTTGATTTTTTTTTATGAGAATGACAGGTGGGGGGAATTCTTTCTGTTGGTTCTGGGGTGGGACAGAATGAACTGGGATGAAGCTAGCAATCCAGGAGTTACATCTGCAATGCTCAGACATAAAGCAGGGTTTCCAGAAAACCCCGCAGGGTGGCCAGACATTACTGCAACAAGATAGTAAGACAAAGAATTAAAATAAGTTTTAGTAAAGGTTCAGTGGGTTCCCAGAAACTTGATCCTTGGCTTTTCCAACTGGTTGAGCATGTCTGAACAGCAGGGCTGGTTGAATCATAGAAGGCTTTTGAATAAAAGGTTTAAAAAAAATTAATAATAACCCTTCTTAAATGTCAGCTTTACCATGCTCCTGGCAATTTGGGGGCACCCAATGTCCCTGGTCCCCTCCACATAAACTATTGGAAGAGTGGTAATTGCTTCTTCACCATGTGTGGGGTGAAGGTGATTCTCTTCATTGGCAGGAATAACAGGCACCGGAGGCAAATTAATGCTGTTCCAGGAGGCCTGTGTGTGTGCACCCTGAGTGTCATCTCCCCCTGAATATCTGCTACGGGGCCTCCTTCCAGCCCCCACCCTCTTCCTCCTTCAGGCCTGTAGGCCTGTGCACGTGTGCGCGCGCACACACACACACACACACACACACACAGACTTAGACTGTATATATTATTAGCCTTAGCACCTCCAGTGGAGCCATTTCTTTGCTGAATTTTAATTTGTGACATTTTTTTTAAAACTCCAGTTCCAAGGTCTCCTGATTGAGTAGCTACTGATGGAAAAGCCCTGGGAAGTCAGAGTGCACAGAAAGAGTAGCCAGGAGGAGGGTGGTGCCCAGGCCTTTGCTCAGAGCTCCTCATTTAAACAGAGAGCATCAGCTCTCTCTGTACCGGATCCTACATGGCCGTCCTTAAGCACCTTCCCCAGGTCCAAGGTGAGAGCCAAGGGAGGAAGAGCAGAGATGGGTGGGAAACAAATTAGAGTAGCCGGTGTACCTAGACTAGCATGCGGGCCAGCTGTCTCAACACCGCCACGGTCTCTGCACCAGCCCCGGGCAGGACTCCCCACAGCCATCCTTTCCGGCCCCTTCGTGCTGACTGGAGGGGCGAATGCATGCGTTGGGATCTTGCAGGTGAGCGGACCCATGCTCACTAGAACTTGGCAGTCAGTGGAGTTGTGCCCAGACAAACGTAGTGACTGTGATAGTCTTATCATAAGCCTCCAACCTCCTTTGATGCCCCCAAACCATTGTTTCCTAGGACTAGTCTCTAAAATGATTTTCAAGTAATTGGGACACAGAGACCAGTTGACTGGCTGCCTGTTTTCCTAACAATGTAGGTGAGGTTGTTTGCTTAAAGCAGACACCAGTGCCTGTTTCTGCTCTAGCTCTTCAATGTGTTGTTAGATATTGTGAATCACCCGTTCCCACGGGGAATGAGAAATGACCCACGAAGCTCCCGAGGCCCTGCTCTCAGACTGTGAATGAGGCATCCCCCCCCACCTCATCCCTTGCCTTTTCAGGCTGTTTTCTAATCCCATAAATATAAACACGTGGCTCTTCAGCCGCATCTGTACATAATAACTTCAGGGGGCTTCCTGTTTACATGGCGATACCCATTTCCCAGCCAAATAAACTCTGGGACGGAGAGCTGAGGTGTTTATGGGGCCATCCCGGCTGGGACTGAGTTAACAGGAAACACCCACTCTGGGAGAGATGTCTGCTGATTAAATATTTGGGGGGCAGGGGACACAAGGGGTCAAAAGCTGCAGAGACTGCTTTCTTCTCCTGCCTGTCGTTTCCCGTAAGATACAGAAGCAGCCATGGTAAACATGGCCAAGCGTTCGGGCCTAACAAAGCCCACAGCTGCGCCGATCGCGCTGTGCGCTGTACCATGCAATGCAGGGAGGAGGGAGGATGGGGCCGGCAAGGCCAGGAGATGTGCCAGCAGCAGATGGACTGGAACTGGCCGATGTACCCCCATCACTGGGACACCCCTCCGTCTTCTCCCTGGCCCTGGCTGTAATGTTTCCATGAGCAGTGTCTCCGCACACCAGACCGGTCAGTAACCCAGCCTGAGAATTTAGAGAGCCTCTAGCCCAGCGGTTCTCAATGGGGGATGGGTGGAGGGAGGGGGCCGGGAGAAGGGTCCTCCCAGGGGACATCTGGGGATATTTTTCTTTGTCAGGACTGGGGCTGTGCCACTGGCATCCAGCGGGTGAAGCCAGGGCTGCTGCTGAACCCCCAGCGCACCGGGCCCCACTCCTTCCGCACACAGCGAAGTGCCACCCAGCCAGAGACGTCCCTCGTGCCATGGACTAGCCCAGCGCCTTCCCACAAACTGAGAACCTGAGACCCGTAGGAGACCCAGCTGGAGCGGGAGAGAACACCACCACCATGCCCACCGCCCATGCGATGCCTTTTAAGGTCATACAGATGTTTAATGTAAAAGGATGAGTAAGTACACATCCTCTGAGAGTTGCAAACAAGTTCCCTGGCCTACATCCACTCAAGTGCTTTTAGGATGTCTCCTGCTCTTAGAAATGAGCTGCTTCCACAGTTTCTCAGAAAACAGTGCCCGAGGGGGTAAGAGTGAGCAGATCTGAAGGAGGCCTCAGTCTAACTGGAGCATGACATGTGCCACTGGCCAGCCCTGGAGCTACTCTGCACTAGTTCCCTGGTCCCGTTTTAGAACTGTGGTCAGCCACGGCCTACAGACAGCGCAGACGTAGAAAAAGCCACCACTCTTAACCCAGGCCCTCAGCCTCGTCACAGGGGAGGGACTTATCAAAAACAAACAATGGCCCAGAAAAATAAAAATAAAAAAATCTGAAAACTCTAGTTAGGCTCACAAGTAGAATTTTTCTGAGACTAGCGCTCTCCAGGCCAAAATCCTTTTTTACTTATCCTTGGGCTTCCGTTGACTGTCTTTTTAAGGACCCAAAAGAGATGTGGGAAGGCAAATAGACTACCCTCTGTGGTTGGGCAGCCTGTGATCTGACCACAGGCCGGGGGGTACTTGCTGGCCTGCTCGTGTGCTCACAGATTGGAATCATGAAACCATCGAGGCTGCCGTCTTTACACGCGGACCCGTCCATAGTTGGCAAAGGGGGTGAGCATGCTTTCCTTCAGACACAGGCTGATAAGGATGTGGATTCACTGCTAGATTCTTCGCCTACCCCTCTTCCGGAGTAGGACAAGAACCCAGCGCTTACCAAGATTTTTTTCCCCTCTCATCAGTAACCCTGGCTCTCTGCCCTTATTCGGCCCTGGCGAGGACTGTGCCCAGTAAGTGCCCAGGTGTAGACAGGAGTAGGCGTGAGACGAGAGAAGAAACCGCAAATGAGAAAAGACCCAATGTACACACATAACAAAACCAAACAAAAAAAAAAGCCATTTTATTGAAAATTAAATTCAAACTTCAAATTAATATTACAATCATGAGAAAAATGCCAAATAATTCAATTTACAGTTGCAACATACAATACAAATAGTCCCTTTGAAGTTCAGAGTAAACTTGTCCACAACCGTGACCTGTGGCACAAAGCAGGATTTGTACAATATGTACATGGGAAGCAAATCTTGGGCAATAGCGATTGGAGAAAAAAAATAAAAATGAAAAGCTTGTATTTACACAAAATGCTACACATATTTTTGTTCCACAGAAATCTAAGAATGGTAAAGCATATCCAAAAAAAAAAAAAAGGATTTTTTTATTCAGAATACCTAAGAAATTACTGTAAATTATGGTTTTTGGCTGATATAGTTCAAAGTACTGCAGTAAAAAGCAAACAGTTATTTGTAAACATGAAGTAAACAAACATCTAAAAAATTCTCACATAGAAAGTATTTTTTAAAGGCATTATCTCTTTTTTTTTTTTTTAAGAATAACAAATCAAGGTTTGGAAGAGTTGTCCTTTATTTTATTTGTCCTCGTTCTTTCGGATATCATCGGTATTTTTGCTAAAGCTTTGTGTTTCCATTTTAGTACCCTGGATTCTGAGTCAGTCCCTTTTCTGGGAATGGAGGGAGCTCTCTAAGCCAGCAAGCAAACCTTCTCCCCTCTGAATTTGCAACGGATGGTCCCTAATCGTGGGATTTCTCTGCTCGTTTCTGAAAGGCTCTGGTGGGGGTAAGACAGCCTGAAGAGCAAACAATAGCTAATCTGTTGCGTCGTCTCCCGGTTCCAGGCTGGATGTGATTTCACAATCCAAAGCCAAAGCGGTGGTGCCTGCTCTGGAACTCTGACAGGTTACACCGGGGAGACCCTGGAGCAGACAGAGGAGCGGCTGTTGGCCACGCCGCCGTCGCCAGCAATGTGTGTGCTCTTTTGACCCGAAGGAAACAGAGTCCTGGCTCATGTGTGGTGCCAGAGCAGTAGTAAGACTGTGCTTTGGTCTTGAAATCACAAATCATGCACGTGACCCAGTGCAATGGAAGAGTTCATTAAAAAAAAAAAAAAAAAAAGGTAAAAGAAAACTTTAACCCCCCAGGCCAAAAAAAAAAAAAAAAAAAGGGCAGAATTTGATCTAAAAATGCGAACGACCCCATTGGTGTGGTTGGAGTGAGGGTGGAAGGATGACGTGCTGGAATGTTTCCCGTGGGAGAAAAAAAAAAAAAGTTTAAGTGTTTCTGGGTTGCTGCCTGCAGCCACTAGAATAGCATTTCAACACAAAAGCATCCCTAAGGTCACTTGGTATGTGTACTGTAAACTTAAAAAAAAGCCCTTTTTTTTTCTTTTTTACATTAGAAGCGAACGTACAAATATAGTACCTGTTTTATTAAATAGGGTACAGCTGGCACTGGCGGTAACGTTTCTATGTCAATTAATTAAAGTTGAAATGTGTAACCAGACACTGGCTTCTTTAAGTGCTGCTGAAACAAACACACACATTTTACACTTACGAAGAAATGGACAGTGGCGTGCTTCAAGCCACCACACACAAACAATAAATAGTATCCATTACTACTTCCATCTTTACTTAGTTAATAGAAAAGTGGCTTCTTGATCTAAGCATACTTGGTATACAACCTTTAGAAGGCAACGTGTTTTGTTTTGGTTTGGTTTCCCCCTCAATTTTTATTAGGAGGAATCGGGATGGGTGCCGGGTGAGAGGCTCAGGTCCCACAGCCCGGCAAGCTGTCCTGCTACTCTTGGTGGCTGAGGAAGGAGGGCTTGAGGGTCACTAGAGAGAGCAGGGGGTCTCTGGGGGCTGGAGGCAAATCTCTACCAAGTTCTGCCAACAGGGGCACAAAATTCAAACAAAGGGGCCCTGGCTGGTGGTGTCATGAAATGATCCTGGCTTGGGTTATTAAGGAGTCACACTTGAGAATTCACCATGTGGCCACCAGGAGAGGTCAAAGTGCATCCTACAGGAGGGCTTCTGCTCAAGTTCATAGACAGTAGTGGACACCAGACTCCACATAGTTCTGCCTTCCCTTGACCCTCCATCGTGAGAAATCCGAATATCTAAGGTTGTCTGTGGGGCCCCTGAAGGGCTGGTATGTTCTCTCAGATGGGCTGTGTGCTGGAACTGGCCTGCTGCTTCAGAGGACCCTGCTCCCTTAAGACAATGACTTAATTCTGCTCCTTTCAATGCAAATTCTGTGGAGAGGTGCCCGTGGGGCCTTAGCTGGGCAGTTTTGGGCTCCCCTGACCAATTGCTTGGTAAGGTGGGTGCGTTGGGAAGCTCTGGTGCAATGCTGCGTTCCTGTGCTGTGTGTATGGTTACTGATCCCTTAGCCGCAGGGGTGGCTCTGGGCTAACTGCGTCTTCACTGTGCAGCCTGGCGATTTAGAGTTCTGCTAGGAAACCACAGAACGTTTTCTGCAGTTCAAGGACTCTCTTGTGCTTGTCTTTTTTAACATGACAAGAGTCATCGCTATTTGAAATAAATGAGAAAACCACATCTCTCCAGCATTTCATGCTGATAAAGGGCAACCTAAGTAAAGGGTTAAGAGGTTTTGTTGTTTGTTTGTTTTTTAATCCCTAATTATTGTTTTAAAAGGCAAAGCTGTGTCAGAGGCAATCAAAGATCTGAAAGAACGAAACATAACATGTCCTTCATACATCACAAAAACAAGATACATCTAAAAATATTTGGAGATGGAAGTATTTTTTTAAAAAATCACATTGTGCCCAGATGAACTGAAATTGCTTAGCAATCTTTCAGGTATGGCTCTAGCCCAGAAGAAATTTGTTATTTAATAAAGAGCACTTTTAGAGACCGAAGTCAACACATCAATACACTAAGAAATGTTTCAAGGGTCCAAATGTCATTAAATAATTATAAATATATCTTTAAAGTTATATGACCATTCACTTAGCAAGTTACCTCAGATTTTACACATATTCATAATTTAAAAAAACAACAACACAATAACACGCAGCCAACACAAACACTATCTATACCATTATGGCTATAATAAGGTATTGCCATTTTCAGTTTTGCATAAAAGAAGGAGAGGGGTTTCAGGATGGTATTTCTTTTTGGTTAAATGGAAAGGGGGGGAGGGGAGGAAAAAGTACCCCAAAAAAGTAAAATAACCTTTCCTGATCAGTATTTTTGAAGTCACTTTCGTAAAGTAGGGGGGAAAAAGAAAAGAAAAAAATATTTGAACCGACCAGTTCAAAGGAGAACTTGCAGCAAGTCTGCAGGCCAGGCTGGGAACAGTTACACTGCCACGGAAGCATCCATGCTGCCTCCTTCCCTTCGCGGGCACCGCGACTGGCTTTGCCAGCGGGTCTGCAGGTGCACGGGCCCCACGCGGCTGCACCGTGAGGACGCGTGGTCTGGCACAGAGAGGAAGCGCTTTGCTCTTCTTCCTCCTGAACCCGGAGTCCGCCTCACTGAATCGGCATATGAACAGGTGATGGATAACAGACCAGACAACAGCGACAAAAATACCTTTTTTTCCTTTGTAAAAGTACACGTGTGTGTGTGTGTGTGTGTGTGTGTGTGTGTGTGTGTGTGTTTTCTACTTAAAGAAAAATAGATCGCAAACCTGAAACCTGATTCTGATTGTCTCTCTCGGCCTTTGGCTTCTCAACAGCTACCCTCTTACGGGTGCAAGAGCATGACTGAGTGAGTGAGTGAAAAAAATCTTCTAAGAAATAGGCACTTTGTAGATAGCTGATCGGTATACATATATACGCGCTCTCTCTATATATATGTATATATTGATACATTTGGGATGTGGCTCCCAGTTACCGCTGGCTGGGCCCACGGCTGAGGAATCTCAATATGGTCGCCAAACGGATTCATCCATTCTGCCACTAGAATTCAAAACGGTTGGGGAACTGCTGTGGCTTCCATCAGCGTCAACACCATCATTCTGGTTAGGCAAATTGGGGTTTAATAGCGTGCTGCCATTCGAGGTGGTGGTGCATGGCGGGAGCATTCTGGAGGGAGAGCGGTCTCCCCCCGGCACCATGGGGAACTGATAGGATCCTGACGAAGTGCCATAGTAGAGATATGGAGTGCTGCTGGCCTGGAAGGGTCCGCTCTGGCTTTGGGAGGAGCCGGGATAGGGTGGTGGCAGGTAGGTGTGGTAGTGGGTGGTGGCGGACATACCGAGGGACATGCCTGAGGTGACTGGCGGGGTGTAAGTAAAGGTGGCTGGATAGTGCATTCGTGGGTTGGAGAAGCGGCTCTCAGTGAGGGATGAAATGCTGGGGAACTGCCTGGGGTCTGAAAAAGGGCCCAGTTCTGAAGCACCTAAAAATTACAACAGAAGATGGGGGGAAAAATCTGTAAATATCAATTAAAATAATGAAAGAATATTTTTTACAAGAAAAAAAGAAAACTTTAGCTTCCCCCACAGGAACAGCAAGCCACAAACAGACCTTCAAATGCACAGGTCAGGTCGATGCAGTCTTTTTTTTCCTTCCCCCTCCCCCCTTATCGGCATATTGTCCTTAAGCTCCTCACCCCCAGAGAACATCAAAGGGCTTTAAAAACCCAAACATGTGCTAGGTCATATGTGTAAACCAACCTAACACTCATCATATAGGTTCACTCACCAGACTTTAACACTGACTCTTCCTTGATTGTTTTCTCTCTTTTTGATTCTCGTTGCACCTCACATATTTGAAGGTGACATTTTTTACTAAGGCATACTAGCTTCGTTTTCTCAACCAAATGGAAAGAAATTCCAAAACCATCGGTTTGGCTACTGGTACCCTTGGCCCCCCTTCATCAATGAAGGAACTTTAAGAAATACCCTAGCATGTTCCTATCACTTCTTTTCAACTTGTGAAATAATTTGAAATCTTCTTTATCTTAGTAACAGATTTCAAAAATCAAACCAGACTGCAATCAAAGAAGATTTCAATGTATTCTGAACTATATTAATTATCTGGGGATATATAAGGAGGGTCTAGCCCTTAGAAATTCTCCTGAGGGTCACAAACTAAATAAGTAGCTTTAAAAAGGAGGCTTATGCCCAACCATAGGTTGAGCATTGACCTATGAACCAGTAGGTCACGGTTCAATTCCTGGTCAGGCTACATTCCTGGGTTGTGGGCTCGATCCCCAGTAGGGGGCATGCAGGAAGCAGCCAATCAATGATTCTCTCTCATCACTGATGTTTCTATCTCTCTCACCCTCTCCTTTCCTCTTTGAAATAAAGAAAAATGTATTAACAATTAAAAAATGAAAATAAATTAAAGGGAGGTTTAGTACCTAGAAATCATTGCATTTCAAGCCTCGATAGTAGACATAGGCCAGGTGCCGACAGAAGTTTTTGTGAAAGGCTCTCTGGATAGGGGACATGTAATGAGGGCAGGTCACCATCCATGTAGCAGGCCCCCGTACCACATCCTATAGAATTTGCTTTAGGCCACTTTGAACAGGTAACAGGGAGACAAAGATGGTTTCCCCTGAAATGTGAAGTCCTTTAGCTGCTAAAACCAACAGCATGCTTCCTTGACTGATATTTCTGGTGCTGAGCATATGAAACCACAGTTATAAACCACTTCATGTGGAAATCAGTTTTCAAAGATCGGGTTATGATTTTCTGAAATCAACAGATGTGACAAGCCCTTTTATGATACCAGCGTTCTTAAGGTTTTGACCGCATCTAAAATCTTCCAATTCTTTGAATCTCGTGTAGTTTGCTTTTCTGATAGCTGTTCTCTCCAAGGGGAAGCATCTGGTAACCCGTGAAGCCTTGGGGAGTAGGGACTTCTTCGGCCCTATTTTTATTTAGCACTTGTTGTTAGATGCTCCAATACTGGTTGAATGAATAACTCTAAAACTTTTCTTTCAAGGTGCTAGTGAGAGTTGTTCATTTTTGTTCAAGTGCACACTGCCTGTGACCTTCCTAAAATGCCAGGACTTTGTGCCACCATGTGCATTTGTAATAAAAACGTGACTGTTTAAAGCAATAGGCAGTTAACAAAAGCGTTTCTCACCCATTGGACAGTAGCCATCAGACAGCCCACCCGGCCCAGCCCAGCAATGGTTAAAAATCTCACCTGCCTGGCTCTTCTTACTGAGAGGGGAAGGCCAGAGGCAGAAGTCAGAGGTGGCAGTGTCATCATCTGTAAAACGAGGGGGGATGAGCTCTAAGTTCCCTTCCATCTACGTTCTGTGCCGTGAATTCCAAGACAGAAGGAGAAGCAACAGCCTTCAAGGAGCGGGAGGCAGAGAAGGTCCCACCCCCTCGTTAGTACTTTCCCGGAATCCGCAGGCCCCAGAAGCAGAGTCTAAAAAGCTAGTGAGCAGCTTCTAATACCAGAAGCAAACACTTTCAAGATGACAAACCAAAACTAACACCGTCTGGGCAGTCACCCTCTGCTTTTCATAAATTCTTCCCCTCCTCCACTGGCCTCTACACCTAAATCCCCCCAAGTACGAAATCCTGACAAGCTCAAGTTGAAACGTGGGGGATGGAGTGATTGTGACAGGATCGCAAACGGGAGCAGATGAGACTGGACGCCTCCCGGCCCCGTGCTCCTGCGTGCCGTCCCGGAGACAGGCACAACACGAGGCCACAGATGTTCCTCGGCCCCCTTTCACTGCAGAGCATCGAGGTGAACTTGAGTTGGCAGAGCTAATCGTTACAGGCGGGCCACTTCTGTATGCATTAAGCTCAATGCCCGGACCGTGTGAAAGAAACCAGAATAATGTGAGCAATTTCCAACAGAAATCACACCTACAACATCAACGTCTATCTCCTTCCCCCCGACCCCCTGCCCTCCTCCCACCACCCTAGAAGCAGAGAGCTCACACAGAGAGGCTTGCCAACGTAAAAAAAAAAAAAAAAAAAAAAAAATGCTTCTCGTGGGCATTTGTACTTAAAATACACTGTAGTCATAATTAAAATTCCATGTGGTTTCCCTTGTTTTGATGCAGAAGCCTTATTAAAACCCTTTATGTGAGGCCCTGCCAGTAAACTCCAATATGGTTTTGAATGTATCCCTCCACCTTTCCTATTTCACCTGATACATGTTGCTGATGTTTTTATTGTCCATAGCATGCCAGGATCGCTGCACTTTTTCAGTTTATGGATGCCAGCTAATGCAAATGGACATTCATTTTTTCAATTAATGAGCTCTGGTTGTGGTTTATAGGAAACAATGCAACAAATTTCTGCTGGGTTTACAGAATTTTGACCAATCATTTTTGGTCCCTGGAGAGGCCGTAAGGTTTTGAGCAGTAACTCCTTCTGGGCAAAGAGAGCTAATGCGAACATTAAATAAATTACACAGTAATTTTTATAACATACAAAAAATGGAATTTTCTGGAAGTCGCTTAGTCATTTTGTGTTTACAAGAAACGTTTCTGAAACATACTGCCATGTGTTCTGTAGGAAGAACACAGTATCATATGAGATCTCTTACATACATCAGCGATTTTCAACCAGCAGGCCACAGAATTTTTAAAATATGCAATACCTGACTATTTAGTCAGGGGCACTGACCTTTTTGTCTGTGAGTTCTGTCAAATAATAATAATAATAATAATAATAATAATAATAATAATAATAAAATGACAATAGCCAACACAATAGCTGTCTGGTGCAAATGAATCAAAATCATACTTTTTTTTTCCCTTTTTTTCTTTTTTTTTTTGCAGATCGGCAAAAAATATATTTTTTGGTGTGCCACAGAATTTTAGTCATTAGTCTATGTGTGCTATGAGATGAAAAAGGTCGAAAATCACTGCCTTATAATAATCTATGATGGGACGATGGAAACAGCATAAACCCTTTCCTCATCATCAATTCATTTATAATAACTGTTGCAAGAGCAAATGATGTCACTAATTTTCCTTTCATTGAATAGGGTTCCATCTCTACTTCTAATTTCTGTTTTGTATATGAACTCAGGTGTTCTTTTTAGATGGCCTTCTTGGGTTATTTTGACACTGTGTCCCGAATTATTCATTCCTGTGTCACTAGCCACATTTCAACTACAAACTTAAAAAGACAGTCCTAGATATTATATCAGTGAAACTAAAGAAAACATGAATCTGTTGGTTAAAGGGGTCAAGATGAAAGCCCAGAGAATCTGGAATGTACTGCTACCCCAGTCTAACTTTATGAACGTGAGGCCAAGGCTCAGTAACCGCCCCAGCGATGTGCCTTGTAGCCTCTCAGCTGCCCAGGGAAGTGTAAACTCCTGCCTGCAACCTGCTGATAAAATGAAGCCAGCGCTGCCAGAAGTTACTTGGCACCCATGATAAACGTGGGCCATCTTCTCGATGCGCTGGTTTTAGGCCACCTGGAGTCACGGCAGACCATACAACAAACATGGCTATGATATGGGCTAAATGCAACACCTGGGTGAATTTTTAGACAGACAAAATGTGACTTGGACAAAAAAAAAAACTTTGCACTTGTGAAGGTTTAGGCTATGTCTTCAGACCCCCTAAAGCACCCTCTTACCTTCCCCTGCCGGTTGGGGGGATCTGATAGAAAAACTCAAATTCTCATCTATTGTGTAGATCATCCTAATCTAACCCATTGAGAAGGGGAGCCATTTATTCTACAAAATCATGCAGTTTAAGAGAGACTGAGCCACAAACTAGCCAGACCTCTTTGACTTATAACCTCTTTGGAATCTCATTTGTCCTGAAGGAATCTGGTTGACACCATCACAGATGCATATATATTTCCTGCCTTAAAAGTCTATTTGCATAAGTACATTCGCCTGAAAATATTTAAGTAGGCTCTTCTGGTGCCTATATATTGGCCCAATGAGAGTTATAGTCTTTGGAATACTATTAAGAACTCTTTTAAGTCCTGTTGTTGATCTAACCTACTCAATAGTGAGCAATTAGTTCAGTTGCTCATGACATAATGTGAATGAGTCCAAGGTCAAGGGTGTGATTCTCTAAGGACCTGCTGGCTTCCTACAGATAAATTTCAGTCCAGACCTGCTATCCACACCCCTAGCCACAGTCAGACAGCTTGCAAATGAATGTAGCTATCACAAACACAGATGAAAAAAAAACCTTGCTCATTCAAATAGCAGCAGTAGCAAAAGCTTTTCACAACCTCATATAAGGGGGAAGAATAGTTTAATAAGATGCCCATAACAGAAATAAAAATAAAATTCATGTTAAAGATAAAATGAAAAAATATTTCTCCTTCCCCCACCCAAGATCTATGGGTAAAAATGAAATAGCTTCTCTTTACCCAACCAGGTTTCTTGGGTCTTCAAAGAAAAGCAAGATAAGGGAAGATAAAAGAGAACCTCTGATCTTTAATACTCGTCGCCTGCAACTCCCCACTCAGCGTCTCCCCACACTGCTTGTTAATGCCAGCGATCTTGCCCTGGTCACGCTTAACTCGTAACTGAAGAGTGAGCTGTGGTGGGCAGAGATCAGTAGAACCCTTGTTTATCTCTCCTTCAGTGCTTAATAACAACAATACTTGATGTTTCCGAGCCTTTACCTAGCATTTTAGCATACATTTTCTCCTTTAGGCCCTCAATAAGTAATGGTTGGTTGAAAATTAGCAAAGAGATCTCTAAAATGAAAGGAAATAATGCGTTTTGTTTTGTTTTGTTTTGTTTTGTTTTGTTTTGTTTTAAATAACAGACTGGGTACTCGCCATTTGAGGCTGTCAGCTAGGAAACACTGTGCCGTGTCTCGTGCCCTGCAAACAGTGGGATTACACATCCCAGCTGAGGAGGAAGGTCGAGCTAAGGAAAAGCCAGGCGGGACATCCGTTGGCATATTTAGAGTTGTCTGCCCTGCTTCTTTAACGCAAGGGTATAAATGTACATCATGAAAAGCCATCATACTTCTCAGCAATGAGGTGTGAACTTCAGAGCTTCTTTGGGGCCTTTTAAATGACAGGAGCTATTGCTCCAACCAACCAATCTCAAATCAAGTTCAAGTACTTTTTATAAACCCCCACATGGTGTTCTTTCTACTAGAACACACAATAACACACACGCTCTCTAGGGCTGCTCTTCTCTAAGAATCTTCTTCCCCTTCCCGTCCCCACCCCTTTTAGGCTGCCCCCCTCCACAACTGCTCTGTTATATGATTTCCCATTTCACTCCTGTTCCAATAGCATTTACTTTCCATATCATTCTTTTGGGCTCTTCGTCAATACTGTACTGAATTATTAGCCTGTTCTCTCCAGCTGCAAAGTAAGCTCTGGATGGTCAAAGTCATGATTTACTTTCTTCTCCTATCCCTCAGAATCTTCTATATTCGAAGAGCTTACAGTTTTTGTAATTTAGTGTAGGAGTGGAGGGATATAAGAATGAATAAGTGAATTAGGCATCAGGAACTCTGTATGATAACTGGTACATATTCATAAAAATGAATATGATAAGAATTAAGCGATGATGGCATCAAACCTGAAATGTAATCTGAATACCATTCCATACCCATAAAATTGTGTGAAATTCTCTCTAAAGAGTGTTCAGAGCTCTTCCCAGGCATCGCTATGTGACCGGACCTCATGTTTCACACAGGGCCCGCACATGGCAGTTGACACTGGTGAACAGACAGATGCCTCTGGTGTTGTCCCAAGTCTCCTTAGAGTCAGTATCTGTGTGTAATTCTACACTGAGGAGCCATGGGGAGAAGACATGAAGAAGGAAGAGGGCCAGGCCAGACAGGCATGGCCCACAGGCAAGTTAGTGAGCACACTCGCCCTTGGGGCCCTCAGGTAACCGCTGCGGCTGCAGTCCTCTTATTTAATGTTTGGAGTAGGTGGTAAAGATAACCGAGGGGAAAGCTCACATGCTGTGTGAATTTCTAGACTAATCTGTAGATCTGGTGTGTAAGAATTGTCAGGAATCACAGATGGCCTTTGTAGATGAAGAAACGGAGATATGGCGTCACAAGATTAAACCGTGGTTCTACCCCAGGTGGGAGCATTCCACCCTACCTCTGTGGCTGGCTACAGCATGAGGGGGGGAGGGTGGAGGAGCAGCTCCCCAGATTTCCTTAGATCTGCATTCATGAAAACACACCTGAGAGGGGAACATCTCCCACTTACACTACCTTTCCAGGCCACACAGGTGACAGAGCCTTAAAACCAGAGGGTGTCACCCCCAACCAGCACAGGCCAGCC